AGAAGGGGGCAGGAACGGAGAGGAGAGAATAAAGGATGGCGTTTAGGGTTTTTCAGCATCAGGACAGACAGCTGAGAGGCAGTAGAGTGTAGTGGCCAAGAGCCTAGACTTCGAATCCCAGCACCACTAGCTAGTAGTCATGTTACCGTGGGCACATAACTTAACTCTCTGGTGTCTTTTCTCAGCTCTAAAAAGGAAATATGGGCTGCTTCGAGGGTTGCATTAGATATTTAAGGTGTTACCTTTCAGTGTCATCATTGTGTTGGTACCATTTATTGAAGTGAGGAAATCTATTAAGAGAAATGGATAAAGGAGTGAAGGAAATAAAAGACAATGATTTGGATCTGTTAAATTTGAGATGCCTTTGGACAGCAAAGTAGAAATATCAAGGAGGCGGTTTGAGAAAGGTTATTTCATATAAAGGAGTGGAGTGGTATTGACCCATGCCTTTCAAATTAGGGGGAAATATCCAATTATTTCATCTGATTTCCTTGGCTTTGATTGGCAGGAACACCAGGGGCCTTCCTGAAGGCTTATTCAAAGCAGCTGAAGAGAAAGGATTAACACTATTTGCTGAGAGTAAAGAAGGAATGCAGTGTTTAAAGGGATGTAGGCATTCTTTCTATCCCTTCCAATTTCTCCCATCCTAATGAAGGTGAAGATAACAATTGATAGTGAAGGGCAGACCATAGAAAGAGTGGCTTAAGTGGAGTGGGGGTGGGAGCTGGCAGAGGTGAGGGGACTGCTTGGAATGATAGGCTCTCTAGGAAGCAGGCTTTTAAAAAAATGCAGCCAAGATTGTCTACATAGTTAATAAAGTAACAAGTAAAAGGAGTTCTACTGTCCCTGCCTCTGGATGTGGAAAAGTGTGTACAAGAGTCTGAACACAAAGTAAAAGTCGTGGTGGGGCTGCTGAATCTCAAAGCATTTTCAAAGTAACATTTTTGTTTGATTTCAAAGCAAATGTGTAAAACTTGGAAAAGACAAGTATATAAAAAAAGAATATTGTAGTTATGATGTAGCCTTAGAGTTCATTTTTCTAAATAATATAATTTTTAAATATATTTTTACATAGTGATCTATGATCTTATGATCTTTACTTAGTGATCTTTTCCCATGTCATTACATGATATTTATTGATTATTATTAAATGGCTATATAGTTTTCTAATCTATGGATGATCCATAACTTATTTACTAATCTTTTGCTTTTTAGAATTTCCAAATTTTTCACTTTTATAAATATAATACTTTGAAATTTATATAGACAGATCTTTGTACTCACACACAATTATTTCCTTAGGATTTTTGCTAGAACCAAACTTGCATATTTTTAAGTTTTTTAATGCATAATGACTCATTGCCCTCCAATAAAATTACACTGATTTTCAAACTTAGCAGTATTTGTAAATATCTATCTCTCCTAGCCAATACTGGGTATTATAACTAAAAATAAAAAAAAGTTACTAGTTTAATGGATAAAAGATTGTATCCCTGCATATTTGGCTCTTTGTATTCTTCCTTTTGTGACTTGCCTGAGCGGAGCCTTTGCCTACTTTATTAATGACATGTTAGTCCTTTTCTCATTTCTTCTTTCCTAATATTTTATTTGGAAATAATATCCAAGTACTCTGTTTCTCATCAAAATTTATCCTAGCTATAGCAACCATTAATGATTTTTGCCTTATCCAGTCTTTACCTCAGAGGTTGCTAAAGGATGATCTTCCAATTCCAGCCCTCCCTCCCCACTTATTAGACAGCCCTCAGCAGTTCACTGTAAGCAAGAACCTCCCTTCTTCCCATTTTGAAAACTGTATTATTGGTATGGACTCATGAATCCTATTTTTTTCAATGGTTTATAATTTATTACTGTACTTAATTACTTTGATACACAGATTGTTTAAGTTTAGCTAGTGGGAGCCCCTTCAAGCTGGCTCCTGTGATATTGGAACATGATCCCATTTTTTTAATCCTCACCTGAGGATATTTTTTCCATTTATCTTCAGATAGAGTAGGAGGGAGATGGGGGAGAGAGAGAGAGAGAGAGAGAAACATCGATGTGAGAGAGACACATTGACTGGCTGCCTCCTGCAGGGCCCTGACCAGGGCCAGGAACAAACCACCACTGAGAGGTACATGCCCTTGATTGGAATCGAACCCGTGATTCATTGGTCCGAGGGCCAAGTCACTGTAATTGCTGAGCCAAACTGGCCAGGGTTGATCCCATCATCTTTTATAAGCACGTTCTTCCTTTTTGGTATAGCAGGATGTTTCAGATATACATGCTCTGTCCCACCCTTGGAGTGAGCCATTTCTTTGAGTAGTCCTGCTTCTTTGCATTGCTAATGGTATTAGAGACCAAGATCTATGTTCTAAGTATGCTCCTGAGAAACCTGATTCTGGTGATGGTTTCACTGGGCTTATACTCAAGTCCAACCTATCAAATTTTATGTAGTTCTTTGTATGTCAATACAGTACCTTATTAAAGCCATTTTACAAAAATGAAATTATAAAATAAATAACATTTTATAAAGACTTTTTTTTTTTTTACAAAAAATGGAAGACTAAAATGTAGTGTTCAGAAATAAAACTTGGGCCCGGCCAGTGAGGCTCAGTGGTTGAGCATCAAAAGCATCGACCCATGCACCAAGAGTCGCCAGTTTGATTTACGGCCAGGGCATATGCCCAGGTTGTGGGCCTGATCCCTGGAGTAAGGGGAAGGGGCATGCAAGAGGCAGCCAGTCGATGTTCTCTCTCATCGATATTTCTATCTCTTCCTCTCCCTTTCTCTCTCTCTAAAATCAACGAAGAAAAAAAAATGTAAAGAAAGAAATAAAACTCCAAAGAAAATCAAAGTAATAATCATAACATTCACGAGAATGGTTTTTGTTTTTTTTGTTTTTTTAGGGTAAAGAGACTTTTCTGTGTTGGGACCAGGAATATAAATTTTCTAGGGTAACTGGTAAAGTTTTTTTTTTTTTTCTTTTTACCTGGATGATAGATACAAGAGTGTTCTCTTGATGATAATTTATTATATTATGTATTTTTAAATGTAATTTCCTATATCTTACCATTTTATCATATTTTATTATAAAAGTGTTTAAAATAAATGAATGTTATTCATGTGCATGATGTTCTTAAATTATTTCTTGGAAACTAAAATCATTCCGCCAAGTAGGGCAAACCTTGGATAATCTAAGTAACATTCCATTGTCTAGTACAGGCTATTTTAAGGTACATTCAGATAATGACTTGATGAACAGCCTATATAAACTTAAATTGGAATATTAATCATTCTTCATATATTAACTTTTTGAGTATTGTTACAAAACCAATTATACAAGATCAAGACAAATGTTTACTTTAGTTTTAAAATTTTCATTTGGTCCTTTTCAATAGTTTCTATTCCTCTGCTAAGATTTTTTTTTTAATCTTTTCATTAATTAGATTAGAGTCTGTGAGCAGAATTATAATTACTCTTTTAACAATCTTTGTCTGCTAATTTCAATATTTGGTTCATTTCAGAGTCAGTCCCTTTTAACTATCTTTTCTCTTAAGAACAGGTTATGCTTTTCTGTTTCTTCCTATGTTGAGTAATTTTTATTGTGGACATTGTGAATGTTATGTTTTGGAGATCCTAGATTCTGTTATATTTCTCCAAACAATGGTGGGAGTTGTGTTGCTTTAGTAGACAATTAATTTGGTTGGCCTCAGACTGCAAAATGTCTCTGCGGCAGCAACTCCGATTTCAGTTCAGTTCTTGTATCTTTAAGTAGGCTGGTTGGAATCTGCCCTGTGCACATGCAGTTCTGAGCTCAGCCAGACATGTGGGCAGAGTTTCTATGCAGCATTTGGGCCTGCCTCTCTCTAGTTCTCTCCTTTACTGCCCTTTACTTCACAGCAGCTGTGGTTTCCCAGTCACTGTCCTCCAGTTCTTCAGGCCAGACCACTGTGAGTTTGCTACCAGTTTTCTGTAAGAATTTTCATTTTCCCTACATGGTGCAGACTGGGGCCTGCCCTCGAGTATAAAATCATTCAGCAAACAAATAAAAACCTGACACCATGCTATCATCTCACTCCAAAAGTGAGCTTTCCTCCCTAATCCGCCTGCTTTTGGTCACTTCCCAATGTCTTCACATAGGGGTTTTTCTTTTTTACAAAAGTGTTATCCAAAGTTGAGACTTTTTATTTAAATGGAGATCAGTCTGATAGTAGCTTACTTGGCCATTGTAAAAGTAGATTAAAGAAATAACATGATGGTAAGAATTTTTTCTAAATAAAATAATGATAAACAAAAACCACCTATAGTCAGACTAACAGATTAGATTTCTTTTGACAAAGAAAAATCCTTTGACTATATATTTCTAATGTCAAGGAAGTCTGCATATATAACCACAAGTAAATTATGAAGATAAGAAAAGGAATAAAGGAAAAACATGTTTAAGGAAAGGAGAACTGCCTGTCTGGAGTGGCTCCGCTGATTGAGCGCTGTTCCATGCACCCAAGGGCTGCAGTTCAGTTCCCGGTCAAGGCACCTACCTGGGTTGCGGGCTTGATCCCCAGTCAGAGAGTATACAGAAGGCAACCAATCAATGTTTCTGTCTCACATCAGTGTTTCTCTCTCCCTCTCTCTAAGCATGTCCTCAGGTGAGGATTAAAAAAAAAAAGGAAAACAGTTATACTTGAACTGTTTAAAACCATTTTTTTTTAAATCCTCACCCAAGGATATTTTCCCACTGATTTTTAGATACAGTGGAAGGGAGGGAGAGAGAAAGAGAGAGAAAAACATCAATGTGAGAGAGACACATAGATTGGTTGCCTCTGGCAGGACCCCGACCAGAGCTAGGGGATTGACCCTACAACCCAGGTAATGTGTTCCTGACTTGGGAGTTGAACTCAAGAGCCTTAGGTTAATAGGGTGACGCTCTAACTGCTGAGCCAAACCGGCCAGGGCTAACTACTTTAAAATAAAATATTTGAACCTCTTTTCTGTTATTTTAGGAATAAGTCTAATGAAGCTGATGACTGTCAAAGAAAACTTAGAAAACTGAAGTTTCAATCCATTATTTTTGAATCAAGGTATAATTAAAATATTTTAAATTAATATTTTTAGTAATTGGATTTGAAAACATGTGAAATAACATTTTATTTAAAATGTACTTTGGTTTTCTTATTATGTTGTTTACATATATATCACCTAATTCAAGTTTATAAAATCTTGAAGCTGTTTATTGATTTTTGCCTCAGCCTAGATGGGAATATTGGAATATCACAAAACTATAAATTTTCTTAGCATTCTTAATTTTTATGTTAAAATTATAGCTTATAATTTCAAATGAAAATTTCAATATCTTTGATAAACATGAATATATAGTTTCTAATGCATATTGATGGATTTTTTTTTTTTTTAATTCCTTTTTAGGTATACTAGATTGCTCAAAGAGAAAGAAGACTCTTTAATGACTTGTCAACAAACGTATAAAACTTTACAGGAAGAACTGACTGCAAAAGAAAGGCAAGAAGAAGACATAAAAAGGAGAATTAACCTTGCAGAAAATGAACTAGAGATAACCAAAGCTCTTCTGAGTCAGGCAAAGGAAGAGGTTGTAACACTGAAAAGTGAAAGGTGCGGTCAAGAATAATTTCTCCCCAAAATATTTTGTGTTTATGTCAGTATTCCATATATATTTGAAATATCAAGTTCTACATATTTTAATAACAATGAAATCCCAGGACTAAAGATGTATTTCACCTGTAAGGTCATTAAATGCCACCACCTCACTTTACAGGGATCAAACTAGAGCTTAAATTGGTTAAATTTCTTGCTTAAAGTCTTACAGTTAGTTAATGAAAGTGGAGCTGGAATCCACATTGCATTTGGTATTAGATTCTTATTGAAAAGACTTAAAAAGACCCTGTGTGGTACTTTACTGAATTTCACCTGGGCCAGTAATTGGTAGAGTCTGTCATTTTCCAAAAGAGAAAAATCTCTTTATATCACCTTTCTCTTTTATTGGTTTCTACTTCTCTTTGTTATTTGTCAACACCTCTTATTGAGGACTTGCCTCTGGTATTGAGGTGGTATCAGGGATGCTAAGAAGCATATTCATCCAACCTTCCTAGATGTTTTTGCTGTTAATTTGTCATTAAATTAACCTTCTCTGTATTTAGTATCTCAATCCTGCTTGCTTGCTTGCTTCCTTCCTTCCTTTCTCCTCCCTCCCTTCCTCCCTCCCTCCCTCCCTCCCTCCCTCCCTCCCTCCCTCCCTCCCTCCCTCCCTTCCTCCCTTCCTCCCTTCCTCCTTTCCTTCCTTTCCTTCCTTTCCTTCCTTTCCTTCTTTCCTCTTTCTCCCCTTCCTTCCTTCCTTCCTTCCTTCCTTCCTTCCTTCCTTCCTTCCTTCCTTCCTTCCTTCCTTCCCTCCCTTCCTCCCTCCCTTCCTTCCTTCCTTCCTTCCTTCCTTCCTTCCTTCCCTTCTCTTCCTTCCTTCCTTCCTTCCTTCCATTCTCCTGGCATGGCTTTGCTCATTCCTTCCGAGTTCTTTTGTTTTAACTACATATTTGATATATAGCACACATTTTGGGGTTTTGTTTTGTTTTTATCAAATCTGGGAGTCTTTAATGAGAGATATTATCCCATTTACATCTATGGATATAGTTATTATATTCCAGAAGAACACAAGTTTCATAAGGGCAAGAATTTTTGTCTTGTATTATTCTCTGTGCACAGAAAGCACTATTAGGCTATTTGTTCTTCAGTCTTCCTCTCATTTTTATCTTTTAGTTTATTTTTTTTTATTTTCTTTATTTCATTTTATAAGTACTTGGCTGCTTTCTAATTTAAAAGAGCATATATATATATATATATATATATATATATTATTATTAATAAGGGCAACTATTTGCTGAGGAAGAGTCTGGCATTGGGGCCCCAGGAGTGGGTAGCATGCAGCTTAGAATTAGGTTTGTTGTCTTAGAACTTTCTCACCAACACTCTTCCCTAGGTCACATCTGTCTCTAGTTCAGGCTAGCTGGGGGTCTGTCTAGTTCACAGGGAAACAAATCTTGCTTCTAGTTCATCCTGAGATGATATACATTTACTTATATTTGATTAAATGAGATGAACAACTGCAGAACTGATTACCAGCCATTTCTTTCTTTTCTGCCATACCAATAACCTGTTTTTGCAAAGGTGATGTACCTTGTAGTTTATGATTCTTCATTCCACCCCATGACCTCTGCCATTTCACAATTACGTAGTTACTCAGCCCATAGCATGTTAGAAGCAGCAATGTCATAAGCAGGAAATATGCAAAAGCCAGGTTTACTAATAACAACAAGAAATGGCAGTACAAAGGATTGTAAGAAAATAATATGAGCAACTAGATACCAACAAACTGGACAATATGGAAGAAATGGATAAATTCCTAGAAACATACAATTTTCTAAAACTGAATCAGGAAAAATCAGAGAAACTGAAGAGACAGATTTCAACTAATGAAATTGGAGTAGTAATCAAAAACTCCCAACAAACAAATGTACTAAACCAGCTGATTTCACTGGTAAATTTTACCAAACAATCAAAGAAAAACTAATACCTTTCCTTCTCAAAGTATTCCATAAAATTCAAGAGGATGGAAGACTCCCAAGCTCGCTTTATGAGGCCAGCATTATTCTAATTATAAAACCAGATAAAGACACTACAAAAAAAGAAAAGTATAGGCCAAAATCCTTGATGGCCATGATGCTAAAATCCTCAACAAAATATTAGCAAACCAGATCCATAAATACATTCAAAAGATCATACACCATGATCAAGTGGGATTTATTCTAGGGATGTAAGATTTGTATAACATTCACAATCAATAAATGTGATATACCACATATACAAAATGAAGGATAAAGACACATGAACATATCAATAGATACAGATAAAGCATTTGATAACATTCAGCACCAGTGATAAAAACTCTAAACAAAGTGAGAATAGAGGAAACATACCTCAACATAATAAAGGCTACATATCACAAACCCACAGCCAACATTATAAAACTGAGCAAAAACTAAGTATTTCCCTTAAGATTGGGAACAAGTCAGAGATGTTTGCTTTCACCACTCTCATTCAACATAGTACTAGAAGTCCTAGGGACAGCAATCAGACAAGAAGAAAAAATAAAAGGCATCCAAATTGAAAAGAAGTAAAACCATCACTATTTGCAGATGACATGATACTGTATACAGAGAACCCTAAACATTCCATCAAAAAATTACTAGAACTGATAGACAAATTAATTGAGTAAAGTAGGATCATACAAAATAAATATCCAGAAATCAGTTGCATTTTTATACACCAGTACTGAGCTATCAGAAAGGGAAACTAGGAAAACAATCTCATTTACAATTGTATAAAAAAATAAATAAAATAAAGTACCTAGGAATAAATTTAACCAAGGATGTAAAAGACCTATACTCAGAAAATTATAAGACATCGAAGAAAAAATGGAAGAAGATACAAATAAGTGGAATCATATACCATGTTCATGGATAGGAAGAATTATGATTTTTAAAATATTCATACTACCCAAAGCAATCTATAGATCAGTGCAATACATATCAAGATACCAATGGCATATTTCACGGAACTAGGACAAATATTCCAAAAACTTATATGGAACCACAAAAGAGAAAGAATAGCAAAGTTGGAGGAATATGCTACCTGATATCAAACTATACTTCAAGGCCATAAGAATTAAAACAGCATGGTAGTGGCATACAAACAGACTTATATAGATCAATGGAACAAATAGAGAGCCCAGAAATAAATCCATGCCTTTATGGTCAATTGATATTTGAGAAAGGAGACAAGAACCTGCAGTGGGATAAAGATAGTCTATTCAATAAACAGTGTTGGGAAAATTGGTCAGATATATGCAAAGTAAAAATGAAACTAGACCACCTTCTTACACTATACACAAGAATAAACTCAAAATGGGTTAAAGATTTAAATGTTAGATTTGAAACCAAAAAAACCCTAGAAGAAAACATTTGCAATATGTTTTATGGTTTGACATTTCTCAAAGCAATATTTTTTTCTTATATAGCTCCTCAAGGAAGGCAAGCATAAGAAAACATAAACAAATGGGACTACATCAAACTAGAAAAGCTTTTGCACAGCAAAGGAAACCATTAACAAAATGAAAACACACCCACTGAATGGGATAACATATTTGCCAATGATTTATACGATAAGGGGTTAATATCCAAAATTTATAAAAAACTTATGAAATTCAACACCAAATAAACAATCCAATTAAAAAATGGGCAAAGGACCTGAATAGACACTTCCCCAAACAGGAAACACAGATGGCCAATAGACATATGAAAAGATACTTAATGTCACTAATCATCAGAGAGATGCAAATTAAAACCATAATGAGATATCACCTCATGCCTATCAGAATGGCCACCATCAATAAACCATCAAACAACACATGCTGTCGAGGGTGTGGAGAAAAGGGAACCCTTGTGCACTGTGGTAGGAATTCAGGTTGGCACAGCCATTGTGGAAAACAGTATGAATTTCCTCAAAACATTAAAAATGGAACTTCTTTTTGACCCTGTGATCCTACTTCGAGGAATAAATACTAATAAATACTAATTTGAAGGAATATATGAACCCCTATGTTCATTGCAGTGTTATTTGCAGTAGCCAAGATCTGGAAAAAGCCCAAGTGTACATCAGTAAATGAGTGGATAAAAATGCTGTGGTATCAGACTGACAAACCTCAGAGAGGGGGCAGGGAGCAATGATAAACCAAAGAATTTATATGCATAACCAGTGGACATAGACAACAATACTGTGAAGGGGTAGGTGAGGGAGTGGGGAGGAGGGTGTCAATGGGGAAAAAGGAGAAACATCTGTAACAAAATAAATTAATTTAAAAAAAGAAAAAAAATGCTGTGGTAAAACCAAAGAATTAATATGCATATATGCACAACCAATTGACATGGACATTAGGCTGGGGAAGGCAAGAGGGGGATGGGAGAGGGAAGGAGGGGGTCAATGGGGGAAAAGGGGGGCCATCTGTAATACTTTCAACAATAAAAAAAATGCTGTGGTACATTTACACAATGAAATACTTCTCGGCTATAAAAAAGAAGGAAATCTTATATTTTGCAACAGCATGAATGGACCTGGAGAGTATTATGCTAAGTGAAATAAGCCTGTCAGAGAAAGACAAGTACCCTGTAATTTCACTGATATGTGAACTCTAATGAACAAAATAAACTTACAAGCAAAACAGAAACAGACTTAGAGATATAGAGAACAGACTGACAGCTATTAGAAGAGAGGGAGGTTGGGGTCTGGGTGAAAAAGGTGAAGGGATTAAGCAAAAAAAATACCACGATAAAACCTTATAGACACAGACAAGAGTATGATGATTGCCAGGGGGAAAGGCGAGTGGGAGGAGGATAGGGGAATAAGTGGTGATGCAAGGAGACTTGACTTGGGGTGGTGAACACACAGTACAATATAGAGATGACGTGTAATAGAATTGTACACTGAAACCTATATAATTTTATTCACCAATGTCGCCCCAGTAAATTAAATAAGTAAAGTCAACTATA